CATTGCACACGTCTCATCAGGATACCACCCCAGGAGAAAGCCCCCTCCTCCAAGGCCGTTTCCAGCCCCGGAGCCTGCGTCCTCGTTTCCGGGGGGCACGGCGGACTGGTGCGGGTCTCGGTGGTACCCCCTCACTTGACCGTGCATGCCAGCAGGGGCAGGAGGGCCCCGAAGAGGAAGAAGGCAGTGAGCGGCAAGGGCAAGAAGAAGAAGATCAACACGCCAAGCCTCGACGTCACGGCTGTGAAAGTCGATCCCAAGTCGGGGAAGATAGTGCCGGTTCCGAGCGCTGGGGGAGCAGCGGCGGAAGAGAAAGGGGGCGGCAGTAGCGCAGCGGCGGGGGGGGGGGTGGAGGTGTCGGGAAACGGTGGTGGTAGCGGTACGAAGGCGGCAACGGCCCCTGTCGGTGACGGTGGCCCACCGCCCAACATCGACGATGTTGCCTCGAGGTTCGGCCCCGCTGCCGCTGCTGCCCTCGCCTCGGTGGGAGGCCCTAAATAGTGCTCCTGCGTCGTCGTAGTGATATGGGTTGTTGTCGATGCTCTGTCAGCAAAGCACTTTGAGTTTGGTGATGCTGCTGGCAATGTGATTTTGTGGTGCTGTGGTCGAGGAGCAACGCTTGGGGCTGGCGCTGCTGCTTTCAATGCGATGTGGTGATGCTGTCGTCGATGCTGTTAGCAAAAACGCGTGAGTTTGGTGATGCTGCTGGCAATGCTACTAGCGGCGGCGGTATCGATCTGTGGTACGGCGAAGGAATGGTCGTATCATTCATCTAGCCGTCCGCTGCGATTAGTGGTAGTGGTGCTTCGGCAGGTACTCTTGCTGCTAGTACCATCAACCCTAGTAGTCATTGCGTCTTGATCGGGCTCTACAGCCCTAGCCTGCGGAAGCGGCCGCTGCTGCTGCCATCAACGGTGATCGACCTGGTGCCGCTCCTGCCGGGGAAGCGCAGGGTATAAGGTGGCCTCCCCAAAAGGGACTGCCATTCATTACGCTTCAGTAGCGTCGTTGGGGGGTCAAATCGTCATCATGGACATGAGGACGAAACACACGTACACCACGCGTGTGCTTCGCTGATTGTTTGGCGGAAGACCGCCGGCGTCGTAGCTGTTACCCCCCACATCAAGCACGCGTTCGTGAGATCCTCTTCTTCTCCCTTGGTTGCCTGTTTATTGCAGTCTTTGCGCCGCGTGGCGGACAAGGAAAAGGCACACCGATGGGGATTCTAGAGGGGAAGTAGGCTGGTAGTCTGCCTGTCTGTGCACGCGGGTACATGCGTCTTCCTCGCATGTCTGGACACACATCAGGGCAGGACACAGCTGTCTTGTACGGTACGCAGCACAGCTAGATATCCGGCAGGTGCGCTCTCGCGAGGACTACAAGTGAGGCGCCCCACCAGACTTGATGGATTCGAGACAGATGATGCCAAGGGCATGCCCGCACGCCCCTACATGTAACCAGGTAGTCACGAACGAACCCGGAGGAGCAGGTGCTTGCAGTGTTGCTGGTGCTCCTAGTGGCCGGTGAGATGGGAGACAGAGCGATCAGGGCTGGCTACAGAGATCTGTAACACCACACACCACACACACCCGCATCATATGGCACATGGAATATGGCACATGGAATGACGGCATGACACATGAGGCATCAGATGTGCGGCGAGATCCTTCTTCAGCTCCGTGGTTTCCCCTCAGGGAGCCTTATGTGCTCCTATCTTATGGGCCCCCAGGTGGGTGTGTTGGGTGTGCTTGTCCGCTTGTCCACCACCACCAGCAGGCCCAGAGCTCGTACCGGGGACTACCGTACAAGATGAGGTCGCCCGGTCTGACGCTGTCGATCTGCATAGCTCTTGTCTCTACCTCCGCCGGTTTCTTTACAGGCGGTCCGACCTTGTTCACAAGGTGCGTTCCGAGCAGTGCAACGAACGCGATTACGTCAACGTTGTTTGAAGTTGTACAGTGCATGTGGATACCCAGGAATCGTACCGCCGTTGCGTTGCCGCCGGTATGCCGGTATGCATGTGGGCACCCCCAGAGACTTTACAGGCAGCACCATGCATTGCAACGGCCAATGAATGCAGCCGGTGTTCGGGTGGGGGCGTGGGACAGCAGTATCTGGTAGACTGATATCGTCCGTCAATAAATATATCCAATTTTTCGGCAAGTTGCGCGTGTGGTACATGTAACTCTGTACGAGACGAAAGTAAATGATCCCGCATACTCTTCCACGGAGAGGAGGTGCCGTGAGTTACCGGTTGGCCGCTTCCCCATGAGACCTCAGCCGAACGCTGATTGGGAGAACAGTTTTTCACGAAGCAGGGTGTCTGGACAAATGTGTTTTGGGTACAGTGGCATCATGACAGCAGTCCAAGCAGGAAAAGTCGTGTGTGTCTCATGTTGCGCGTGTGCCCACAAGCCCTACTGCTGTTGTATGCATAGGCTACCGCCGTGTTGTGCCTGCGTTGTGGTCTACATGTATATTCATGGGCATCGTTTCATACTTGGGTGAACGACACGATAAGGGATGGAGAAATACCACGAGGATAATGTGGATCGGTCTCCACAACACAAATGCATGCTTTCTACAATACAGCAGTTCGACAAGCTGGTCAGTTTCCTTGAAGAGGACTGCTGCTGGTAATCACAGCAGCAGCTGTTGCTTACGTAGAGCCTTGACAGGCCACGCGGCTTATCTTCTCTGTTTTATCACGCCAGGCGACGTTTCTTCCCGCATTTGGACTCAGTTCCTTCTCGCAGCAGGCATCAACAGCAGCATGGTCGCCCTCGCCCTTTACTTCCTAAAAAGTGGTTACAGTATGCATAGCCACTGCGACAGCGGCGTCGATCGTAGATTGATGTGGCAGTATGTAGAACAACGATAGACGCTACATGCTACATGCATGAACGTTCCAACAAAGACCTCTCCTTGCTTCGGAACGTGCGTCAAATCTCCCGCAGCAGTAGAATGCTCTCCCTCGTCCTTGGCGACGAAAAGCCAGCCATAACAACTAACGGCGTCGATTGTAGATTTGATGTGGCAACAGAACAAAAAAGGCATGGACTGGTTTGGTGTGTTGTTGATGTAGTCGGTGTGGAGTGGATGCGAGTGTGGCATCGTAACTCGCTTCGCTCGAAGGCACTCAACGGGGGCCACCCAACATTGCACACTATGCATGGACATTTCAACGAAGGCCTCTCCCTCTCTCCTTACTTGTCCGTACGTGCGTCAAGTAGCAGAGTGGTCCCCCTCACCCTGGACAACGACAAGTGATAGCAATAAGAACAGTAACAGCGTTGATCGTAGATTGATGTGTTAGCAATAAACAACGGCCTAGGCGCCACCCAACACTCTGCGTTTCAACCAAGGCCTCGGAACGTTCGTCAAATCTCTCGCAGCACCACCACCGGCGATGGGAAGACCCGGCGATCTCGCTCGCCGGTAACAACCCGCAACCCGGGGTCCCCGCCGACGGTGATGATGGCGACGGGGGGGGGCTCCTTCTTCGACGGAATCGCCGAGTTTTTCGAAGACCTCCAGAAGGGGATGGCCATGCCCCCGTCGGCGGCGTCCGTCGCCAAGGCCAAGAAGGTGCTTCGTCGGATCAGTAGCCTCGGCGAGGATACTTCTTCAAGCTTGGTTTTTGGTAGTGGTTAGGGTTAGGGTTGGGGTTACGAACCCATCCCTACTTCACGTATAACGCTCGAAGTCCAAGAAGGTGCTTCGGCAGATCAGCAGCCTTGGCTAGGGAGGATTGTAGGCTTGGTTTTATAAGGGTTGCGGGATTGGGTTTGGGGTTTAGGTGGCTTGTTTTCCTTACAATACCTGCCAGCCATGGTATTTGTAAGCCTCGGATTGTACCCTGCCGCTGTATGGTGCCATATTCGCTGCCGTTGGAGCCCAGGATTTCGTTGAGCGTTGTACTTGTCGTCTCATTTCCTCAACACTCCTACAGTCCCCGCAGGTGGCATGTCTCGTGGGAGATATAAGGGGTGGAGTTCGAATGTAGTTGTGTGTGGGTCACGATGCATCATGAAACGGAAGCAGCATGGATGTAGAACAGGACTTGTTCTGGACATACAACAGGATGGCCACCTAGCTGTCTTGTCGGGCCTGCCAACCAAAGGGGAGATATCACTACATATGTATGCTGCCCGGGAACCGTAGAAATACAAGTTGGTCATCATGCAATATTATCTATGGATTCACTGCTAACCTATCCCGGACCCTTATCTGTGGAAGAGATGAAATTGTGGTACTTTTGTGACATCTAAAAGAACAGGACTTCTTGGGACAGCCGTGGATCTGAGGTGGCCTCGCAGGCAAGGCTTGAAGGCTTTCCTTATTTGTCACCTCTCCGCAACCAACTACTTTTCTACCTACATTTCTTGCTCACTCGGTCGCTCCTTTGCCCCCCCCGTCGGAAACTTCTCGGAATCTTCCCCGGCTTTTTCGGGGCGGGAAAATTTATGGGAAATTCATTTCTCCCGCCGCAAACAACTAAACAAACAAAAAAAGGAAAAGGAGGAGCAGGAGGAGATGGCGTTCGAAGGTGTGTGGGTGATGATGAACGGCCTTTCTGGAAAGATGGGTCTCGACGTGGCAGCGGCGTGTCTACGGAAGGGCTTTCGGATAGCCCCGTACGCCATGTCAGGGTCGGGTTCGGGCGAGGTCAGCGTCGCCGATCCTAAGGTGATGCTTGGGAAGTGTTTTTTTTTTTTCTGAAGCGATTGAATGTGTTCGTTAAATTTGTAATTAGTTCGTTGCTTGCCATTTGTGTTGGGATGCTAGGGATTCCTTTTTCAGCTTGAATTTTTGCTTCAGAACTTTCTGGGTTACCATGACTTTCCGTAGTCATCTCAGGGGCTTCTTGCGTGAACCTTTTTCCTTGGCAGCGTTCGACGTTGACGCTCCCAAATGCGCCAAAGTGGAGGCAGAGGGATGCCCAAAGGTTGATACAACTGTGATTTCGTCGCAGCTACGCTGGCCGCCGGTCTATCTATACCTTTCAGTACACGTTTCGCGCATGTGCCTTGTAAAAAAAGTAGCCCCTTTAGCCGCTTGTAGCTCTGTTAGGCAATAGTCCTCAGCGCTTTAGCTCAACTATTTAGAGAATCTCCTAAGATCGTAATTATTTGGCGAAATTTTCGTGTTCTTTTGCACTTATCCCCTCCGGCGTTCTTGTACTCTTGAGACATGGAATAGCCAGGAGAAGATGGTAGCTGTACTGGGAAGGTACAGAGAGATGTTTGAGGCATGGAATAGCCAGGAGAAGACGGTAGCTATGGGTATAAGAAATGGGCTGAAGAGGCGGGAGTGATATCGATAGGATAGAGGAAGCTTTTGAGCGGCCTTTAGTACGGTAGGAAGGAACGATTGACCATCGGCGATCGGTCCTGTGGGAACAATGTTCCGTCCCCTCGAGGACGCGCGGTCAAAACATGCGTACCTCCCCCCCCCCCCCCCCCCCCCC